CCGTTAAGATGTTGTCTCCCGTACTAATCATATCTATGTAAATCTCTAGGTCTCTTGTTTACGGGCTAGGCACTGCTTATACGGTCGTTATATCAACATTTCCTATTTCCGGCGATCTCACTTTACTATTTCTCACTTCTATTGTCCAAAAACGGCAGGTGCCTACCCTACGTAGACAAAGAATCCCTCGCTTCTGATTGGTCGCGCCCCTGGACCCTGAATTCCGCCGCCTTCAAAGGTATTCCCTACTTCCAAAAAAACCTAACTTGCGACATCAACATTGGTTGTTGACCCCCCCCCCTCCCGCCCCGCCCCCTACCCGCCACAACCCCTCCTAGCCTCCGCCTGCTGCTCTGCCTACTGCTCTGCCTGCTGCTCCGCCTGCTGCTCTGCCTGCTACACCGCCTGCTGCTGCTATCGTTATGGCGCCGTCACTCGCAGCGCGCTGCAAGCTTTCAATCGCCAGAAAGGTACTACGAACATCTGGAAAGAGACTCCCTGGCGCAACAGGTAGGAAAGGGCTTCCATCCGCAGGTGTGAAGAAAAATCAAAAAAAGAGAGGCAGTAAGTATACCTGGTCGGCAGACGTGGTCGGCACATGTAGTCGGCATGTACTAACATTTCTTTTAGAGGGAGCTTTGTAGGAGATCAAAAAATGCCAGACGGAGGTTATAAACTATATCCTAAAGCTCGCGTTCGTACGTATCGTTAGGGATGCTATTATCCTTTTTACCGAAGACTACCTCCCTATACGGATCCAAGCGAGCGCACTCGGTATCCTCTAGGAACAGTGCGAGAGCATAGTAACGAAAGTCTTTTCGTTAGCCAATCTTCTCGCTATCTACTGCAAGCGAGTTATAGTAATGGCGAAAGATCTCGAATGTCTTCGTAGGCTACTAAAGGAGTAGAATGTCTGGCCAGACAATTACGTAGTTGCTCCCTATAGCTCTGGCCCAGTCAACCCGAGTACGATGTATAAGCCTCGATCAAAGACGAAGAAGACGAAATCGAAGCCAACTCCAAAGAAGCCGACTGCGAAGAAGAGAAAGAAGACTCCCGCGTCCTTAAGCGAAGACGAGAGCTCAGATGATCCCGATAACCCTAGCGCTCAAACGGGTACTCAAACCGGTACTAGTGGCCAGACAGACGCTAACAATCAAGATCCTCCTAGCACCGATCAGGATAATAGCGACACCGGTAGCCAGACAGACAGGAACAATCAAGATCCTCCTAGCACCGATTAGGATAATAGCGACACCGGTGGCCAGACAGACGGGAACAATCAAGATCCTCCTAGCACCGATCAGGATAATGGCGACACCGGTAGCCAGACAGACGGGAACAATCAAGATCCTCCTAGCACCGATTAGGATAATGTAGATACTAGTGGCTAGACAGACGGGAACGATCAAGATCCTCCTAGCGCCGATTAGGATAATAGGGGTTTGAACGATTCAGACGGTAAGAAGCAGGCGACTATCGTGATTTCGAGCGGTGATGAGAGCTCGGAATACGATCCAGATACTGATCCTAGCGTTCAAACTAGTCATCCTCCAGCTAACAAGGAGAATGCTCAGGACGATGATACGGTACCCCCAACGACAGAGGATGAATATCTCTAGGCTCTCCTCGATCATGTTAATGCCCAAGAAGAAGAAGACGAGGAGATAGCTTCCGAGAATTCAGATTTTCCTTTTGGGCAACCAGGTATACCGCTCAGTCAAGCAGATTTTCAGTATAGCGACGAGGATATAGGTACCTAGGATCAAGATATCTCGCTTGGCCAAGACTACAATCCTTTCGATCATCCAGATTTGGAGGAGACGGGTCCTGATTCTCTCTAGGAGAGTCGACCAGATGTAGAGAGAGAGGATGAAGAAGAGGAGTCGCAGCAGGAGTTTGACGAGGAGATAACAGAATTAGAGGATATAGCAAGGGCAGCGTATACGGTAGCTATAGATCAAGCGAATAATCGGGGTACGTAAGAATTCGTAGCTAGGGGAAGTATCGACAAGATACTAAGTATACTTGTAGAAGAGCCTATTACCGAACGAGACAGACTGGAGACAGAAATTTCAGCTCGCTTTATCCTTGGAGCTACTTGTTTAAGGACCCTATTATTAATAAGGACAGAGCCGGCTTTCCAAGCGGCCTAGCGAAGAATAGAGATGCGTAAGGCCTGGAGAGTAAGGCAGCAGCATATAGTAACCGAAAGTCGGTTTAAACACTAGATACGCGTTCTAGCTAGGCTAGAGAAGGAGATGTTGAAGCATTCACTATAAGCCTAAGATCTGAAGTGATTTGGTTTTTCTAATTTTCGTAGTCGGCAGGTATAGTCGGCAGGTATTATTAGCTATAGAAGGAGATGTCGAAGTACTTACCGTAAACTCCTGAATTAATTTGCTTTTTCCTAATTCTCGTGGTCGGCAGGCATGGTCGGCAGCTATTGTTAGCGAGTTCAGGCAGTACGGTATATACGAGGCTTATTACTGTTCCAGAAGCGCTTACTATGTTTATTCTATATCTAGAAGAGGTTTTACGTAATACCCATCGCAATACCCATTGGGTATACCTATTGGGTTTTTTCCGTTAGGTTGTACCCAGCTTATAAGCTAGGTACCCACCTTATTTGCGGGGTTGGGTATTAACGTTGGGTTGTACCCAACCCATACCTAACCCAACCCATAACGAGGCCTAGATGCTATTATCCTTTTTACCGAAGACTACCTCCCTATACGGATCCAAGCGAGCGCACTCGGCATCCTCTAGGAATAGTGCGAGAGTATAGTAACGAAAGTCTTTTCGTTAGCTAATCTTCTCGCTATCTACTATAAGCGAGTTATAGTAATAGCGAAAGATCTCGAATGTCTTCGTAGGCTGCTAAAGGAGTAGAATGTCTAGCTAGACAATTACGTAGTTGCTCCCTATAGCTCTAGCCCAGTTAACCCGAGTACGATATATAAGCCTCGATTAAAGACGAAGAAGACGAAATCGAAGCTAACTCCAAAGAAGCCGACTGCGAAGAAGAGAAAGAAGACTCCCGCGTCCTTAAGCGAAGACGAGAGCTCAGATAATCCCGATAACCCTAGCGCTCAAACGGGTACTCAAACCGGTACTAGTAGCTAGACAGACGCCAACAATCAAGATCCTCCTAGCACCGATTAGGATAATAGCGACACCGGTAGCCAGATAGACGGGAACAATCAAGATCCTCCTAGTACCGATTAGGATAATAGCGACACCGGTAGCCAGATAGACGGGAACAATTAAGATCCTCCTAGCACCGATTAGGATAATAGCGATACCGGTGGCCAGACAGACGGAAACAATCAAGATCCTCCTAGCACCGATTAGGATAATATAGATACTAGTAGCTAGACAGACGGGAACGATCAAGATCCTCCTAGCGCCGATTAGGATAATAGGGGTTTGAACGATTTAGACAGTGAGAAGTAGGCGACTATCGTGATTTCGAGCGGTGATAAGAGCTCGGAATACGATCCAGATACTGATCCTAGCGTTCAAACTGGTTATCCTCTAGCTAATAAGGAGAATGCTTAGGACGATAATACGGTACCCCTAACGATAGAGGATAAATATCTCTAGGCTCTCCTCGATTATGTTAATACCTAAGAAGAAGAAGACGAGGAGATAGCTTCCGAGAATTCAGATTTTCCTTTTAGGTAACTAGGTATACCGCTTAGTCAAGCATAGGCCTCATCATAGGTACAACCCACCCTAGTAGGTATATAGGGTAGGTTGGGTATTGGCAATACCTAATAGGTATGGGTATTTAGCTAGGTATACCTAACCTATCGGGTTGGGTACAAACCTAGTAGGTATTGCGATACCTAGTAGGTATTGCGTACCCATTGGGTATTGAATCTTCGTATATAGAAATAAAAAACCCAGAAACCGGGTGCCCTAACGAGAGCGAAGAAGCGATTTATTTGGACTAGGCATAAGAAAAGAAACTGTATATAAACCCGATATAGATACGAAAGTGAAGATTATAGTTAAATTGAATGAAGAAGCTCAGGATTATATATACGCTATGCTACAAGTTGTGATATTTTGAATCTTGAGAAATATGGTCGGCAAATATGGTCGGCAGGTAAACTTCATACAAGCTTAAAGCAATCTCCCTATAATCGTCTTGTAGCATCCCGGAGGCACTCTTGCGCAAGCTTGAAGCTTAGGCGTACTAATCGCCTTGGCTCCTCTACTACATTACCCTCGTTATCGCTAATCGCATCTAAGTCACTGATCCGTTCCATAAGATCTTTCGTCTGCTCTCGGTCTTTACTAAGGATCTCCTGTGAAGTTAGAGTACTAAGAAGCGCTTAGGAAACCTCTGTAGCCTCCTGGGCGATAAGAACTCTAGCATCGTACTCATCGTCCCGATAGCGAAAACGAGATACCATCAATCCAGAGAATGTTGCTACGGTGTATTGGCGATTGAAACGACTTTGGTGTCGAGCGATACTGAAATCGCGCTCACACCCAACTCCGGCGGTAGGAATGCAGAGAATATCCCGCGCTATTAATGCGAGAGTAGGGTACTTAGACTCTATTGAAGACTACGTCTTTAGTACCTCGAATGGATCCCCTTTATCTATATTAGCGTCCAAATAGTCGGCGAGCTCGTCATCCTCGTTAGTGCTGCGTCTTTGACTTTGAGAAGACTCTGTACTCCTACTAAGAGTAAAGTCGATATAGCCTTTGTGCCGACTCCTTCCAAAACGGCCCTGCTAGGTAGAGGTACTCGATAATGAACGATAGCTCTTCTCCTACTCTGCCCTTAGCTTACCCTCGTAATACGCGCGGTAACTTTCATCCCCAAAGTCATCGCGTACCTAGAACTTCCGCTTAAGGCAGGGGGTAAGGAGGACGCTAATACCGTAGTAATCGCCAAATCGATCCTAGGTATCTCGATAATATTTCTCTAGCTTAGCCTAAGCAGCCTCGCATGCCTGAAAGACATCCTTCTTCTAGGGTATCCGCTTATTCTTGAGTCGCTTCATCGCCTCCTCTAGAATATCGAAAAGCTTGTTGTAGTATACGAGGACAAGGTGAATCGTCGGACCTTTCGTAGTTCTAATCACCGCTGTCGCCGCTGCAAATGGTTTCGTAAGGTCGATAAGGTACTCTACCCTTTGCTATTCTTCGGAATCGATGCCTATGTCTTTACCTAGGTCAAGTCGCTCGATATAAGATTCAATAACCACTTGGAGTCTGCTAAAGCGATCGAGTATTAACGTTGTTGAGGACTACCTTGTCTTTACGTCTTGAACGACCCTTAGGATACGATCTTGAACGCCTTTCTACCGACGGTGCTTTGCAAATGGCTGCTTCTTTTAAAGCATCTCTTTCTGGAGGTCGATAAACTGTTCGAACCTTTAGGAGCTCGAGTTAATAAAGACGCAAAGCTTCTGGATCTAGAGATCAAGATTAGCTAGAGTAACGAACTGCCGACCATAATTGCCGACTACGCGAGTCGACTATACTTTCGAGGTAGAAGGGTTTATAGTTTATTAGGCGTAGACACTAATCTTACCTTCAAAAGAAGATAGGGCATACTATCAGCTTGAGGACGGCTGATTTGCTTGCTCTAGACTCTTCTTCTCTGTAATATCTTTCTATCCTTGTCGTGATCCCAGAATTCGGAAAGGTCGTTCGTAGGACAAAGCCCTAGGCGGTCGAAAAAGGCCTTTAGGGGAAGTTGAGCAGTATAGGCAAAGCAGGGAAATCGCTCCGGACGGCTACCTCGATTACACTCCGCAATTGCCTCCTCCTCTTCCTCTCCTATCTCTGATTCGGGACTAGTCTCCGTACCTAGATAGAGAGGTAGCTGCTCCAAGCTCGTTGGTAGCTTAGTAACCGTTATACCGTACCTCTCTTGACAAGTATCAATCGCTGAAACACTATAGAATATTAGAGGAGAGTAATAACAGTATAGCAAGTGTCCTTACATCGCATTGTGTAGCGTCTTATTGTTGGAGGCGTTGTCGTACGTAATAGCAGTCAATCGCCGCTCAATCTCGAACTCTTGTAAGATCTCGAATAGTATCTCCGCAAGATGATCACTAGTATAACGGCTAGTAATATAAGGGAAACCAAGCATCCCTTCGTGCTAAGTCTATTGGTCGTCAATCCAGTAGACCCGTATAGTTAGGAATAAGGTTTTTATAGTCCTGGATTGCCAACCATTATACGCGATAGCCATCTTGAATCTTCTAGCGAGACGGGCTTTAAGGGAGTCGGCGGAGTCTATAACCTTAGTATCGAGCATCCTTCGGTATGTCGACGCGCATTTGAACGGAATTGTCTCGACCTGTCCCGGAAGTAGTGCTATATAAGTCTGTTTCACCGAGGGTCGTTCAAAGAACTAGAATAGTAGACCGTTGTCGACAATCATCTCAAAGTATAGGCGCGGGAAATCGTCTGGTATATAGCCTAGGTCCCTTGTCTACCGTAGATTGCTAACAGTCTAGAAATATCGTCTTAGTATAAGTAGCTAGACGTAGTCGGCAGACGTGGTCGGCAGGTATAGTCGGCGTTAGTTAGTACTTACCTGTCGATGCTTCGCGGCCGTAAACATCTCCTTTGTAAACCCTCGCTCATCTTGTTTCTCCTAGCAGTTCGAGGAGTCGAGATGCTTCTCGACAGATGTTGTACTAGTATTTAGTGCTAGGTGTTTTAGTACAGCGTCACAGCATCTGCATACGACTTTAGGCGTCGTATCTTCTTAAAGCATTCCCTCCTCTAGGAAATCCTATACCCAAGATGTCCGAGACTTACTCCCCTAGGTAATTGGGGACCGATCGAACATAGTACGACCGTTCCGCTTTTTAAGGCGCTTTCCGGTATAATTCCACTACCGTACCTCGTACCAACGCTCAAAGTTGTCCTTATACCTAAGCCTCTATAGCTAGCAATTTGACTTGATATCCTACTCTCCTATATAATCAGGCTCGACAGGGAGAATAAGGGAACTATCTAGTTCCTCTTCTACTGGACTCGGCCGTCTCGTTCTACGCCGCCTAACGTCAGGTTGTCGTCGGCGTCGACCTAGTGTTGGACTCGATAGCGCGTTGAGTGTCGTCCTATAGCGCTGGCGTAGCCGTGCGCTCGATCGCGTAGGGGTCCCGGAAGAGGTATCGGGCTAGGAGGAGGATTCGAGCCGGGAGCTTCCTACTCCTAGGGAGGACGAGAAGGAGGACGAAAACATAGTAGATAGACGACAATAGCGTAAAAGTCCAGAGGTATCTTGAAGAAGTAGGAGTAGAAAGGGGAAAAAGAAAGAGAATTTCCTGTACTCAATTATAGTGTTACGCTATAACAAGGGTATAGCCAATAGGATATGCCGACATTCTGCTACATCCGAGCCAACCTATCGAAACCCTAGTTCAGGCGTCGCTTGCTATTTACCCATCGCTTCCGCTTCTTAGTCTTAAACTTTAACAAGGGTAGCCAGTCTCTTGTCCTCTTAAC